TATAGGCCTCTGCGTGTTTCTTTGGGACTGAACAGCTGCAGGACCAGGTAGGTCAGAAACTTCTGTCTACAGTTCTATTCTAATCTATGATATTACCAATCACAAATAGATGCCTAGGTTTCTAGTACCAGGCATGAATTCTCTCCCTATTGAGTAACCCTTAAGTTCAATTACAGGTCTATTGGTTACCAAAAGATAGATGTGCCATTGTAACACCCTCAGGGATTTGTTGGTCATTGTCATGGTTCAGAAACTTTACAGATGGAAAAGACATTCTTAATTACTTTTCTCTCTTGTCAGCTTGCATACAGTGAGGGTTTTCAGAGAGGAGGCTTCCAGGTCAGTTCTAGTCTCCTCCTCCTCCTCCAATTGATGCGGCATAATAACCAGGCTAGCTTAATATGAAACAGCAAAATTTAATGAAGGGATAGCTTACAACACCAGGGATACAGCGATGGGCAGGAAATACAAGAAGGGACCGGCAGGGCTCACGCCCACCAGATTTATACATAAACATTAGCCTGAGGTGAACACTCCCCCCCATTGGACTGGGCTTCCCCTACATCCTCCTCCTTTTCCTCCTTCTCCTCTTCTTCCTCCTCCTTTTCCTCTTCCTCCTCCTTCTTCTTCTTTTTCTAATATTTTATTCTTTGAAACATTCATACATACATACAATGACTTTCTTTTTTAAACTTTTTTGGAGTCTGTCCTGGATTAAACATAATTCTTTGTTGATTCTTTAGAAATTTCACATTATGAACTCCAATCCTGCTCATCTCCCAGTCCCTCCTTATATACCTCTCATCCTACAGTATGTCCTCCAAATTAATCAAAAACGAAGCAACCAAAAAACCCACCTCACTCCTCCATCTTTCCAACACCCCTTCATTCATCCTAGTGGCATCGGGAGCTGTGGCGTGTCACACAGTGTACCCCTTTTATCTAATCAGTGCCATCCACAAAATGTTCATCGTGATGATTTGTTGGTCTGGTACAAGGCCTCTGATTTCTGGCCCACCATCATCACTGGGCTGGGCCCTCAGGGAAACTCCTCTTGGATAGCCTGTTGTTGCCTTGAGTCATGGAGGTTTTTCAGTTAGGCTACTGTTAGGGTGGGCCAACCCAAGTCCTAGGATGTGGGCCTGGATGATAGTTGAGGGGGTCGGTCTGGGCCATTGGAACCATCTCCTTTCTCCAACTCCAATGTCTGCAGCAATAAGCTTTGCCTTCAAGGACAATAAATATACTGTTTGGGGAGTCTTTGGACTCCTCTGACCAACAACTTGAAGAGAAGATTTTCATGCCTAGGATTGGAGTTTTTATTAGTCTATAGCTCTTGGAGGGCGTTTTATCACCTCAAGTGGAATACTTCATAAAAATTACTTTCATATGTATACAGGCCATAATTTTTCAGTCGTCCTTAGTGTTCTTTATCCCTCCTCCCTCACTCTTCCTCTGCCTTGCCTTCCCTGTCCCTCCCAAACTGAAGCCCCTCCCCGTTTTAACTGTCTTTCCTCTAGTGCACTGAAGACTTACTAGCCTCCTTCTCGAGCTCTTCCTACAACCTCCATAGTTCTTTTTTACTTTCCAGGTTTCTGCTGTTTCTCCTAATTATATACCCTCACATAAGGAAGGATTCAGAACTAGTTGCCAGGCAGTGGTGGCGCACACCTTTAGTCCCAGCACTCAGAAGGCAGAGGCAGATGGATCTCTGTGAGTTTGAGGCCAGCCTGGTCTACAAAGTGAATTCCAGGACAACACAGTGAAACTCTGTCTCAAAAAAAAAAAATGAAAAAAAGTTTAAAAAAAAAATGGTAAACTGTCTTCGTGTTCCAAGTGAGTGTGAAAAAGTTTATTCTGCTGTTTAGTGTAACATTTTGGTTTTTTTTTCTTTTTTTTTGAGACATGATTTTGTTTTGTGGCCCTAGCTGGCCTGGCACTTTATCAAAAAGGAAAAACAAACAAACAAAGCAAAACACACACAGACAGACACACATAGGGATGGCTAATCTTGGTTGTCAACTTGTCTTCTTCTAGAATCAACTAAAACCCAAGTAGCTGGATGCACCTATGAACCCACCTATGAAGGATTTTCTTTCTTTCTTTCTTTCTTTCTTTCTTTCTTTCTTTCTTTCTTTCTTTCTTTTTTTTTTTTTGTCTTTTGGTTCCTGTCCTGGAACTAGCTCTTGTATACCAGGCTGGCCTCGAACTCACAGAGATCTGCCTGCCTCTGCCTCCCGAGTGCTGGAATTAAAGGCCACCATCGCCAGGCCGAAGGATTTTCTTTATTGGCTCCTGTGAGGTGAGAAGATCCAACCTAAATCTGATCATTTGTAATCATAAGACCTCCCCAAAGACAGGTGGCTGTCGCAAAACCTTTAATCCCAGCACTCAGGAGGCAGAGGCAGGACTATGTCTAAATTCAAGGCCAGCCTGGTCCACAGAGCAAATTCCAGTACAACCGGAGTTACGTAGAGAAACCCTGAAAAAAAATGACCCACCTTAAATCTGGGCCACACCTTCCGATGACCGCCTATATAGACAGTCAAAAAAGAAGAAAGCCTTTTGTTTTTTGCCTGCTTGCCCTCACTTTCACTGGCAAGTTCATCTCTCCTGCTGCTGAGGCAATCCTCCGATGGTATTAGATGGTATTAGAACCTGTTTCTTCAGGACACTCCAACAAACAATGAAGACCAGTGAGACATTCGACCTTGTAGACTGAACAACTACTGGATTCTTGGCCTTTTGTTGGGATACAGGTACTGCTCAGCTAGTTGAACCACAGCCTATATGCTAACCTTAATATATCATATATCATTCCATCAGTTTTGCTCCTTTTTTTGTTTTGTTTTGATTTTTTTCAAGATAGGATTTACTCTGTGGCTTTGGAGCCCTTCCTGGAACTAGCTCTTGTAGACCAGGTTGGCCTTGAACTCCCAGAGATCCGCCTGCCTCTGCCTCCCGAGTGCTGGGATTAAAGGCTTGCACCACCACCACCCGGCCAGTTTTGTTCCTCTAGAATTGCCAATGCACTCATCCAGTGAAGGCTACATTTGGAGTTGTAAAGGACTGAGGCACACTCAGCTTCAAGACTTCAGCACCTCTTAGTAAGATAGCACCTTCAGTTGCAGATCTCTATAGTATACACCTTAATAATTATCTTAGTTAGGGTTTCTATTGCTGCGACAAGACACTATGACCAAAAAAGCAAGTTGGGGAGGACAGGGTTTATTAAGCTTACACCTCAGCATTGCTGTTCACCACTGAAGGAAGTCAGGACCGGAACTCAGACAGGGCAGGAAACTGGAGGCTGAAGCTGTTGCAGAGGCCCTTAGGGGTGTTGCTTACTGGCTTGCTTCCCATGACCAGCTCAGCTGACCTGCTTATAGACCCCCAGGACCAACAAGCCCAGGGATGGCACCACCCACCATGGGCTGGGCCCTCCCTCATTGATCACTAAATGAGAAGATGTCTTCCAGCTGGATCTCATGGAGGCATTTCCTCAGCTGAGGCTCCTTCCTCAGATGACTCTAGCTTGTGTCAGGTTGACACACACAACCACCCAGTACAATAGTAATAAAATATTAATTTGGTCTGCCCTGCCTGACATTAATGTTAACATCCTGTAAGTCTCAAAAAAAAAGTGATATTTTAAATTTGTTTGTGCAGGTTTACTGTGTCCTGGAGGTCCAGAAAAAAAGTACTGGTGAAAGACAGCTTCAAGTCATCAGCACCAATGTATCAAAGGGCTGGCGATGTGGATTATTTAATAGCAAGTCAGCCCTTGTCTAGTGCTCAGGAAACTATGGATTCAGTCTCAGAAGCACGTGGACCCAATGTGATTGATGATTGATGATTCAAGGCCAGCCTGGGCTATGTCAAATGTTTTCCAGATTTTACTGTGTCAGGAGGATCCGGAAAGTATGCCTCCTCCTTCAGCAGAATTTATCTGTCTTTGACTTGTAAAAAATATGTGTATCCCATCCAGGTACTAACCAGGCCCGACTGTGCCCGGGACCAGCAGGCTGTGGAGGGAGCGAGCCCACTAACCCGCAGGGGAGCAGGGCACGGGCGACAGGCTCAATAAACAGAAACAATAAAAAAAAGATATGTGTGTGTGTACAGGTGCATGCTGGTGTTCACAGAAGGCAGCAGAGGGGTTCAAATCCCCTGGAGCTGGAGTTATTGGTGAACTATCTGATTTCGGTGCTGAGAGGCCAAGGCGGGCGGGTCTCTGCAGAGTTCTCTTAATCTCTGAGCCACCTCTCCAGCCCTCCATCTAACTTTTAGAGGCTCTCTCTCTCTCCTGCGGTTTGTTTACAGCTTACTTCCTGCAGCTAGACAGTTCAGAGAGGCTTAGTAGAGTGACGTTTCCCCTTTCACAGTGCCTTATTCTTACCTCCCAATACTAGGAGACTATACGAAATCCACAAAAATATGAAAAAAATGTATTCTTTTAAGTCCCTTCCACTCTTTGACTTTTTTTTCCCATCACTTAATAAATCTACATTTGCTCTGGGAAAAAGAGAGACGGAGGGAGAGAAAGAAAGGAATTAAAGAAACGCAAAGGAAGGTGAAAAAGCCAGCATGACGTAGACGCAAACAACTTCCCACTTCCAGAAGTCAAAACAACCTGAGGGTGGGCGAGACTACAGAGCGCATGTGCAAAAAGCTTCACCGGGCCGGGTGGTGGTGGTGCATGCCTTTAATCCCAGCACTCGGGAGGCAGAGGCAGGCGGATCTCTGTGAGTTCGAGACCAGCCTGGTCTACAAGAGCTAGTTCCAGGACAGGCTCCAAAGCTACAGAGAAACCCTGTCTCGAAAAAAACTATAGAAAAAAAAAAAAAAAAAGCTTCACCGGACTCTACATTTGGCGCGAAATCCCGTGTGGTGGGAGGGGCTCTGGACGGAACCGCCATTGATTGGACAGGTTTGGCGCGAAGTACCCCAGCTCCTGCTCCATGATTGGCTGGGGTGAGAGGGCGGGGCCGGGCGGAGGCGCGCGCGAAGCGGCCGAGCGGAAGGAGCAACGCGTGGAAGCTGCGGCCCGTCTTCTGTGGTGGTCTTTCCTCAGCGGTTCGTACTCTCAGCGCTGCCATGGACCTCGCGGCGGCCGCCGAGCCCGGCGCCAGAAGCCAGCTCCCGGAGGTGCGCGACGAGGTGGCCGAGAAATGCCAGAAGCTCTTCCTAGACTTCCTAGAAGAGTAAGTGGGCTTCCGGGCGCTGGCGGGCCGGCGGAGCCTGGGGCCGCGTACGCTCAGGGTCGGGAAGGGATGGAGCCGGACCAGGCCGGAATCCAAAGCCGCCCCGAGCCTTCCCTCCCCTTCCCCAGCGCCTTCCTGTGCCGTGCTTTGCTTCTTTCTCGTTGCTTTTCTGAGACAGGGTCTCCCCGAACTCGAGTAGGCAGAGATGGTTTTGAACTAGCGATCTTCATGCCTCCACGTCGCGAGTGCTGCGGTGACAGACGCGCATCGCCATGCCCGGTTTCAGAGCTCACATCACAGCCCAGGGAGGCAGGGTTGGAGCGGAACCCGTTACCTCTTAAGTATAGTGAAGCCACAGCCGGCTGCTGGGAGCTTGTAGAGCTTGCCGTGCTGCGAGCCTGGGTTTACAGAATTCTTTTTTATTTTTTTTCTTTTCGGGATTATGCCAGTATGGAACAAAAACTCGCTGTTTTGACTTTTTTGGGGGTGTGCACAAAAAGTAGCATCTTGTATTGCATTGTGCAATCATCTGTATCATACCTGTTGGAAACTTTCATCTTTCCACACAGACTCTACCTATTAAATAACCAGTTTTATTTGCCCGTTTCCTAGTCCACTGATAATTGCCAAAGCCCTGAAATGGATGACTATAGGGGCCTCGTATAAGTAGTGTGTGTGGCTAATTTTGCTAGACGTGCAGCTTTCTGTAGTCAGTTTTTTTTTTTTAAGGCAAAGTAAAACTACATGGCATTTATATAGCCTATCATATATTGTTTATCCGTTTGTCTTCCTTTGGGCCACATGAACAATACTGCTCTCTTCTGAAATTCTGCTGTACTTAAAACTGATTTAAATTCCATTTTCCTACTTTTGGTAATGTTCTTGGCAGTCAGTACAAGCCAACTCAAGACTCTTGGTGAAAGTATAAACCAGTGGTTCTCAACCCATGGGTCTCAACACCTGGGGACTAGCATATCAGATTGCAATTAGTACCTGTAGCAAAATTGAAGTTACGAAGTAGCAACGACATTTTATGGTTGGGGGTCACCACAGCATGAGGAACTGTATTAAACGATCACAGCTGTAGAAAGGTTGAGAAGCACCACTTCTATAAACCTTTCAGACAGTAAGCAGTAGCTTACTTCCCTTGTGAGCCCAGTAGGCCTGCCGTTTTCCAGATGCTTTCCCCTGTCAGCTCTGGCATTAGGCCCTCTAGCCACCCTCCCACCTCACAAAGGTGTTAGGAAGGTTCCTTTCAGCAGATAATAAAAGTGCCTTCCCCGGGTGCCAGGGCAGAGACAGGCAGATCTCAGAGTGTTAGGCCAGCCTGGGCTACACAGAGAGACCCACCTTCTCGGAAAAACAAAAAAGAAGTACCTTCACCTTTACTGTAGGTCAGTGTCGAAGCTCAGCGTAAACAACACTTTGGTTCACAGAAACAGCTTTGGTTTTGTTTATGGAATAAAGTCTACCTTTTTTCCTTTTCTCCTTTTTTTTTTTTTTTTTTGAGACAGGGTTTCTCTGTGGTTTTGGAGCCTGTCCTGGAACTAGCTCTTGTAGACCAGGCTGGTCACAGAGATTCGCCTGCCTCTGCCTCCCGAGTGCAGGGATTAAAGGCGTGCGCCACCACCTCCCGGCTCTCCTTAATTTTTGTTTTGTTTTTTTCAAGGCAGAGTTTCTCTGTGTAGCCCTGGCTATCCTAAAACTCAGTCTGTAGACTAGGCTGGCCTCGAACTCAGAAATCCACCTGCCTCTGCCTCCTGAATGCTGGCACTAAAGGTGTGCACTACCACCCAGCTACTACTAAATTTTCTATTGTAGTTTCATTCTCCAAAACTACCATCAGTCACTATAGGTGGTTCTATCACCTGTTTTATTTTTGGTTGCTTGCTTATTTTCTTAAAGTGTTGGGGAAGGAACCCAGGGTCTGATACATGCTAGACAAACGTTCTACTACTGAGCTATTATCTCTAGCATTCTTTGTGCTGGGATTAAAGGAGTGCACCACTCTCCACAGCTTCCCAGGCCTTTTTTGACTCTTATTTTGAGAAAAGGTCCCTCTAAGTTACCCAGATGGTCCTGGAACTTCCAATTTTCCACCTTTAGCCTCTCCAGTAATTAGTGTTACAGGCCTGCACCACCAAGCCCATCCACTTTTTTTTCATAAACGTAACTTTTAATGACTTTCAAGGAATAATTCCAATGTTACTTTTACATATGAATCTTTATTATAGATATTCCTGTAGACATAATTGGCTTATATTTCTGGTACTTCTCATCAATAGAAATATTATTTGTTTGTATTTTGTCTCCTAAGAATGCCAACCCTAGGGCAGGAAAAACACTACCTTTCCTGTGCCTTTAGGTATCAGATGTAATGCTTTATACTTGGGTCCGTCTCAAATAAACATTTTAGAAGAATTTGAGCCTGATGTAGTTAGAAGAGGAATAATTTTGCCCAAAACAAAACCTGATCTATATAGTATATGAAAAAAGCAGAAAATATATTTGTATGCTGTTCTGTTTTACCTTTGGTTGGGAAGCCACCAGCTTTACTTCATGTGTTTACATTTCCTTGGGGTCTTTAGCAGTGATACCTCATTTCTCTGTGTGCTGGTGTTTGTTTTGCTTGCTTTAAATTTTTTTGTGGTGTTGGGGATTAGATCTATGGCTACATGTATATTAGGCAGGCACTCTAGCACTGAACTACATTCCCAGCCTCTATTCTGCTTCTTAAATAATGACTAACGGAAATTTTTGAATTTTTAGTTCCATTTCTTAACTGTCAGATCTTAATTACACGTAACAATAATTTTAAAAACCTGTTATTTTGAAAATGTTAAATTATCCAAGCAGTCAGATGAATCTCTGAGCCAGCCTCACCTACAGAGCAAGTTTCAGGATAGCCAGGGCTATGCAGAGAAACCTTGTCTTGGAAAAATAAAAAAGTAATATACCAAGTTACCTAGTGTGCAGATTCTTTTTTTTTTTTTTCTGCTTAGTTCCTCTATTTAATGTGATTTTGTACTTCTTCAGGTTCCAAGGTAGTGATGGAGAAATTAAATACTTGCAGTTTGCAGAGGAGCTGATTCGTCCTGAGAGAAACACACTAGTTGTGAGTTTTGCAGACCTGGAACAATTTAACCAACAGCTTTCTACCACCATTCAGGAAGAGTTCTATAGGTAAGAGCATGTTCATTTTTCCTTTGAATAGACATGAAGCCTGAAAAACCAGCTTCTTGCCCTGGATGTGTTCCCTGTAAGAAAGAAGGGCATTTGTCACAATTACTTCCTTCTAAGGAGAGACCTTTTGGTACAAGTGGTCCCATTAACATAGGCTTTTGTAGAGCTTGGGTTTCCTTATGTCAGATGTTAAAAAAACAGTTATTTTCTATATAGTTTTCCCAAGAAGAAAATGTTTGCTTTGTGTTATACATTTAGTTACTTAGTTCTATTGGGCGGGCTTTCTCCCTTCCTCCCTCCCCTCTTCCCTCTCTTTCTCCCTCTCTCTCTTCCTTCCTTCTTCTTCTTCTCTCTCTCTCTCTCTCTCTTTCTCTCTCTCCTCTTTCTTTGTTTTTTTTTTTTGTTTGTTTTGTTTTGTTTTGAGATAGGATTTTCCTACGTAGCCCTGTCTATCCTAGAACTTGCTCTGTAGACCAGGCTGGCTTCAAACTCACAGAGATTTGCCTACCTCTGCCTCCCAAATGCTAGTATTAAAGGTGTGTGCTTTCTAGGTTTATTTGATCTTAACTATCCTGTTTCACTCCTGGAATAGGTACTTAGAGTAGCTGTAGTAAGTCCTGGTTTTGGACCAAGGATATTACTTTTTCAGATAGGGTCTCACCTTGGTGCTTCTCAGGTTGACCTTGAATTCTTGGCTGAAGATCTTGCCTCAGCTTCCTGAACAGCTGGAATCTCAAGCAAATACCACTTATGGCTACTTAAAGAGATCTTTATAGCAATAATGTTATTGGTTTTGTTAAAAAGTTTAATTTTTCTGGTTATAGAAGTAATGTATTGCCTCTCTTTTTTAATGGTTTATTTAACTTATTTTATGTGCATTGGTGTGAAGTGTCAGATCCCCTGGGACTGGATCTTCAGACAGTTGTGAGCTGCCATATGGGTGCTGGGAATTGAACCCGGGTCCTCTGGAAGAACAGTCAGTGCTCTTAATCACTGAGCCATCTCTTCAGCCCCTGTATTGTCTCTTTTAAAGTTTTATTTATAAGGGATGTGTGCCCTTGTGCATGTGTGCAATTCATAACAGTTTACAGGAATCAGTTCTGTCCTTCTTCCTTGTAGGTCCTAGGGATTGAACACAAGTTCTCAGCTTTGGTGACAGCACCCTTACCCACTTTTCCATCTTGACAACCCATGTGTATCTAACATATTTTTTTTTAAAGTAAAGAAAAGTAAGAAAAATCAAATTACTTTTATATTCTTAACTTTACCACTCACTGGTAGCCATTCTTTGCTGGTTTGTTGAAGCAAGCATCCAAAGACTCTAATGTCTGCAAGTATAGAGTTTACAAGGATCTTACTACATTTTTTGTTTGTTTGGTTTTGGTTTTCATGAGAGGGTTTCTCAATAGCCCTGGCTGTCCTGAAACTCTGTGGACCAGGCTGGCCACCTGCCTCTGCCTCCCAGAGTTCTAGGCTTAAAGGCGTGCGCCACCACTGCCAGGCAATCTCACTGCATTTTGATGTCTTCCTATGTGTCTATAGTTTTGGAGATAATACAGATATAGCATCCTTCCCTTTTTGGCCTAGTGTATAATTTTCCATATAAAATTCCTTGGATACATGTTAGTAGCTTAGGTGTGGCATTTTGTTTTATTTGTTTTTGTTAAGATAGGACTTCAATATATACCTTAGTTGGTCTTGAACTTGTTTTGTGTACCAAACTCAGATATCCCTGTCTTTTCCTCCCAAGTACTGGGATTACAGGTGTGCACCACCACATTCCAGCATAGCTTGAGTATTTTAGGGGTAGAAATAACTTCAGCTCATTTTATTTTCAACTATGTATGAGAAAAACAGCTTTGTTGCCAGGTGGTGGTGGTACACGCCTTTAATCCCAGCACTCAGGAAGGCAGGAATAGGCACATCTCTGAGTCTGAGACCAGCCTGGTCTACAAAGAGAATTCCAGGACAACCAGAGCTGTTATAGAGAAACCGTGTCTCAAACCAAAAAACCTGCTTTTTTCACAAATAATGATCTACATTTGTTCTAAATAAATCTTTGTATAAATACGGATTTTTGTCAATAGTTATAAAAGAGAAGACACATAAATTAGGAGACATGGTCCTGTTTTCATGGTGGATTGGAAATTGAGGTACTCTGAAACTTTTTAGTTATAGCTAGTCAAGAACAGTTGAAGATAGCTCCATGGTTGAAAGTGCTTGCTGTACAAGCATTAGGATAAGAGTGTATTTCCCATTACCCACATAAACCAGAGTAGTCAGTAATAACAATAACCCCAAGACTAGGGAACAGAGAGGACAGTCCTGGGGGCTTGCTGGCTAGCAAGTGAGAGACCCTCTGTACACAAAGTGAGGCAGGAAGTCAGCTAGTGTTGCTTTCTGGCTTCCCATGTTTTCATGGACTCACATACCCATATACACGAAGGGGAAAAGAATGGCTGGAGGAGTAAGCAGGGGAGTTTAATATAAAAGCAAGCATCTGCCTTGCAGTTATGTTCTAAAGCTTGGTTATGACCAGGTGGGATGCTGTACTCTAAAAGTTGACAAACATGAAAAAGAAGGCAGTCTTGGTAAGAGTAAACTGTCACTGGTCCTGTTTGTTTTTCAGAGTCTACCCTTACCTGTGTCGAGCCTTGAAGACCTTTGTCAAAGATCGAAAGGAGATCCCTTTTGCCAAGGATTTTTATGTTGCATTTCAAGACCTGCCTACCAGACACAAGTGAGGAAGGAATCTTTTTGGGGTGAATCTCACAGGCCCAGTCATGCGAATAGCTGTCTATATAATATAGAAACCACTCTTTCTTTGCTGAGTCTCAATCTTCTCTTCTATCATGTCTTTTGTCTTGAGTTTTCTACTTTAGTCATTAAAGACAAATTTGTTGCTGTAAAAATCTTTTTACTTGATAGTAACAGGATCGTAGTAAGTACTTAAATACTGATGCTGTGAAGTACCTCTTGTTTGTGTCTGTCATTTAAAGGTAAGGTCTTGCTATGTAGCTCACGCTGGCTTCAAACACCCAAGCATCCAGTCTCTTCTTTGCATGTGCCCCCACACCCAGTTCAGATTGACGCATTGAAGTTTTTAAACCTTTTATCCAGAAAATTTAGTTTGGAGAAACTTTTTTTCCCATGGAGATAGGATGGGCAATGTGAAGTGAGGCAGATACTCAGTATTGTCAGACAGGATGTACCTGGGGGAGGGTGTGAGAACTAAGAATAGTTGCAGAAATTTGTGATTAAGACCACTGATTGACAGACACATGCCTAATCCCAGCACTCAGGAAGCAGAAACATGTGATCGCTTTTGTGTTCAAAACAAGCTGGTCTACAAAGTGAGTTTCAAATCAGCCAGGGATATATAGTAAAATCCTGTCTCAAAAAAGAAAAAAAGTAAAAGAAATTAATGAATTTTAGAACTTTAATGAATATAGAGTCTCAGTATGTAGAGCATCTGGCTTTGAAATCAGAGTGATCAATTTTTTTTTTTTTTTTTTTTTTTTTGGTTTTTCGAGACAGGGTTTCTCTGTTTCTCTGTGGTTTTGGATCCTGTCCTGGAACTAGCTCTTGTAGACCAGGCTGGTCTCTGCCTCCCAAGTGCTGGGATTAAAGGCGTGCGCCACCACCGCCGGCTCAGAGTGATCAATTTTTACAGGGATTGACTATTTTTGCCTTCCTAACGGTTAAGAGCACTTGCTGCTCTTCCACAAGATCAGGTTTAGTTCTCAGAGCTCACATGTCATCTCAAAGCTGTCTGTAACTCTAGTTTCAGAGCATCTAGTATCTTTACACAAACTGACATACATGCAGTCAAAATACCAATGCACATAATAAAAATAAATAATAATGAAAAAGGCACGTACCACCATGCCCAGCTAAGCCCCCCTTCCCCCAGCTTAAATACATAACATTCTTAACCATTAGAAATAATTTACATTCTTAACCATTAGAAATAATTTAAAAGTTTTATTCAGAGGTGGATCTCTTTGAGTTTGAATCCAGCTTGATTTACAGAGTGAGTTCTAGGACAGCCAAGGCTGCACAGAGAAACTGTGTCTTGGGGGGAAAAAAAGAAAGATGGAAAGGATATTAATCTATTAATATAACACTTGTCTTCAAACAGGATTCGTGAGCTCACTTCATCCAGGATTGGGGTGCTCACCCGCATCAGTGGGCAAGTGGTACGCACTCACCCAGTGCATCCTGAGCTCGTGAGTGGAACTTTCCTGTGCCTGGACTGTCAAACAGTGATCAAGGATGTTGAGCAACAGTTCAAATACACACAGCCAAATATCTGCCGAAATCCAGTGTGTGCCAACAGGAAGAGGTTCCTGCTAGACACTAATAAATCAAGATTTGTTGATTTTCAAAAGGTATTTACTTATGTTTAGATCAGATTCATGTATGCATTTATTAGACAAATAGATTATTAGATTAGATTCACTGCTAATACCTTTTTTTTTTTT